ATCGAGAGACTGTCAAGATTTGAAAACATTTTTATCGTTTCTTATCAGCAGAAATCCTTTTGTAGAGGAACCCAGTTTGCGAAATATAGAAACAGGGGTCTCGGCGGACAAATTTGTCAATGTTGATAATTCGAAGGAATTAGGGATTAAAATTCTAAAGTCCATGGACGGACAGAAAATTGATGAATTTTCATTTAAAAGGAAAGAACAGGCCATTATCTTAAGTGCAAAATCGGCTATCAAAGTTGATGATGATGTCATTACTGTTGATTCACAGCTTCTCTTTCAGCGCTTTCTTGCTGCATCAAATGGCATATATGAAGATCAGTATGAAATATTCACCTATGAACTATGTAGTCATCCCAGTTCAATGTTTGATCCAAATGGGCTCATGCGAACAGCACAAAAGTCTAGTCTTGCAGATGCTATTTGGGGAAAGGGCGATTGTTGCGCATTTGAAATGAACGAAAACGACAAAACTCAGTATATTATTGATGGCGGCTCTCTTCTCCATCGTATACACTGGCAAAGCGGACTTTCTTTCGGTGAAATTTGCCAGAGGTACGTTGACAGCGTAGAACGGAAATACAGTAGTGCTATAGTTGTATTTGATGGATATGCCTCGGGTCCAGATACTAAAGATGCCACTCACCAGCGACGCACCAAAGGAATCATAGGCACAAAAGTTTCATTCACGGATAGAACTCCTTTCAAATCTAAAAAAGAAATATTTCTAGCAAACATCGAAAACAAGCAAAACTTCATTAATCTCTTGAGTGCAAAGATGGTAGAAAAGGGAATTGAAACTAAACACTCAGATGCCGATGCTGATGTATTGATAGCCCTTACTGCAATCGAGTCATCGAAAACAAAACCAACTGTTTTGCTAGGAGAGGACACTGATCTTCTGGTACTCCTTCTTTATCATGCGGACGTTACATCAAATTCGCTGATATTCAAATCTGGCAATGTGTCAAAACTCAACACAAATATTAAAATATGGGATATTTTGAAGACCAAATCGCTTCTTGGTGAGGAGCTATGTACACTGTTACCTTTAATTCATGCTATCAGTGGTTGTGACACAACTTCAAGAATGTTCGGTGTCAGTAAAGCAGCGACCTTAAAGAAATTCGGAGAACAAGACTTTGTAAAGGCTCAGGCACAGTTATTATGCAATGCAAACACAAAGGATGATGTAATTTCTGCTGGTGAAAACATTATTTCCTCTCTATATAATGGTGCTCCGTATGAAGGACTGAACGTTCTTCGCTACAGAAAGTTTGCTGCAAGAGTATTGACAAACAAAACGTGCGTTCAAATTCATACTTTGCCGCCAACATCAAATGCGGCTTCATTTCATAGCCAGAGGGCTTATCTTCAAATGAAAATGTGGATGGACAAGGACAATTTAAATCCATGTGAATGGGGTTGGAAAGTCGCTAATGGAAACCTTGTTCCAGTTAAGTGTACGATGGACGCAGCTCCCTCTAAATTACTCAACATTATTCGATGCAATTGTAAGACAAACTGTGACACTAAAAGATGTACTTGTAGAAAAAACGGACTTGAATGTTCAGTAGCATGTGGCGAATGTAAAGGAACTGGTTGTACAAATTCGAACAAAACAGTTGACATGGACGATTAAGTGACAATTAACTTCAAAAGATCTATGTAGAATACACAAAAAAACGTAATTAGCATAGTTAAGGGGTTTGGGTAAAAACTACTACATGTTTTTGTTATCCTATAACGTAATTATTTTGGTTTCAAGAAAAAGTATCATACCGGTCAATCGGTTTTTATTGTTGTTATAAGATCTATTGACTTGACGAATTTATCATTATTTGATCTCCCTCAATATTTAACATATACAAAGTAAATTTGAAGACTCATAATCTTATTTGAATTTGGTTTTTTTAAGAAAACATAAATTCCCAGTTTTTATCGATTTTTTGCTAAAAATCCAACATTTTCACCCAAAATTTTCAACTTCCTGTACTTTGAAGTTCATCATATTTTCAAAAATTCATTGTTGTAATAAGATCTATTGACTTGATTAAAAATTATGTACGTTGCTATTTTAGTTTTTTAATAACGGCAAATTTCCAGTTTTCAGCGATTTTTCAACAAAATCCAAGGTTTTCACCCAAAATTAACAATTTCCCTTCATCCAAACTTTCTCGATTTTTCATATGTTCAACAGTAACCCAAAATCAGCTAGGAAAACTAGAAGAACATTCTGTTGCAATTAGTTTGAGGTTTGGTCATATTTTGGCTAGAATGACTGGACTAATATGCTTTTTTTGTAATGTGTTTTGGTTAAGAGTACCTACACAAATCATTCCAACAAATTAACACTTAGCTGACATTTACTTTATACCGTGCTATTTGAAAAAAAAAAAATAATAAAAATATATTAGCTTATTTTCAAGCAACAGGAAGTGACATATTTTGTAAAGATTATACAGGGACAAAGCATTATTATGCGAATAAAAAGATCTAAATTAGAAGAACAGAATTTCGATAAAATATAATAAGACAGCTACAACAAAATGCTTCTGGAAAATAAAAATATAAAATTATACCTCACGTAGATGTTTTTTTATGTGACATGACGTCATACAGGTAAGGAGGTTTGAAATGACGTCATACAGATTATAGGTTTGACATGACGTCATACAGATTAGGGATTTGATAAAGCCTTTGCATAATGTATAATATATCTTTTGTATAATTATACTTGTTTTCTTGTCATTATAAGAAATAGAAAAAATACTTTACATTCCTTTATAAAATTAGATTTTGAGTTATCTCCCCTTATAAGGCCCAGTTTAAACGTGTTTGTGAAAAATAATCTCAGTTTGTAAAACAATTTGTAACGATGAGATGAAATCAGATAAATTTCCTCATTTGAATGAAAAGACTTACCAATAAATGGCTATTCTGACTAAAACTTTGCTTATTTCAATGAAAATGTAAGTCGATTGTTTTATGTTATTGTACAGTCAAAGATGACGGAAGGCTCCAATAAGTACTTACTTAACTCCTATCATCAGGTATTTTAAAGAAGATTTCAAAGATTCTGTGTACAGTCGACCTATTCATGAATTCAATGTGTAGCTTGATAATAATGTTACCAAATCATTGTTCTTGCCAATGCTTATTAACAGCAACATATGAACGTGGTTCTTGTCTGTAACAATCTAAACATTATTGTTCTTACCATCACTTAGTAACAATCACATACGGACGTGGTTCTTGTCTGTAACAATCTAAACATTATTGTTCTTACCATCACTTAGTAACAATCACATACGGACGTGGTTCTTGTCTGTAACAATCTAAACATTATTGTTCTTACCATCACTTAGTAACAATCACACACGGACGTGATTCTTAGCTGTTAAAACTTATAAACATTGTTGTTCTAACCATCACTTAGTGACAATCACATACGGACGTGGTTCTTGGCTGTTACAATTTGAACATTACTGATCTCACCACCATTTAGTAACAATCACATACGGACGTGGTTCTTGGCTGTAACAATCTAAACATTATTGTTCTTATCATCACATAGTATTAATCACATATGGACCTTGTTCTTGACTGTAACAATCTAAACATTATTGTTTTTACCATCACTTAGTAACAATCACATACGGACGTGGTTCTTGTCTGTAACAATCTAAACACTATTGTTTTTACCATCGCTTAGTAACAATCACATACGGACGTGATTTTTGGCTGTAACAATCTAAACATTATTGTTCTTACCATCACTTAGTAACAATCACATACGGACGTGGTTCTTGGCTGTAACAATCTAAACATTATTGTTCTTACCATCACTTAGTAACAATCACATACAGACGTGATTCTTTGGCTGTAATAATCTAAACATCATTGTTCTTACCATCACGTAGTAACAATCACATACGGACGTGGTTCTTGGATGTTACCATCTAATTTAAACATTATTGTTCCCAACCATCGCTTAGCTACAATCACATACGGACGTGGTTCTTGGCTGTTACAATCTAAACATTATTGTTCTGACCATCACTTAGTAACAATCACATACGGACGTGGTTCTTTGGCTTTTACAATCTAAACACTATTGTTCTAACTATCACTTAGTTACAATCACATACGGACGTGGTTCTTAGTTGTAACAATCTAAACATTATTGTTCTTACCATCACTTAGTTACAATCACATACGGACGTGGTTCTTGCCATGGCTGTTACAATCTTGATACTATTGTTCTAACCATCACTTAGTAACAATCACATACGGACGTGGTTCTTGGTTGTAACAATCTAAACATTATTGTTCTTACCATCACTTAGTAACAATCACATACGGACGTGGTTCTTGTCTGTAACAATCTAAACACTATTGTTCTTACCATCGCTTAGTAACAATCACATACGGACGTGGTTTTTGGCTGTAACAATCTAAACATTATTGTTCTTACCATCACTTAGTAACAATCACATACGGACGTGGTTCTTGGCTGTAACAATCTAAACATTATTGTTCTTACCATCACTTAGTAACAATCACATACGGATGTGGTTCTTGGCTGTTACAATCTAAACATTATTGTTCTTACCATCACTTTGTAACAATCACATACAGACGTGATTCTTTGGCTGTAATAATCTAAACATCATTGTTCTTACCATCACGTAGTAACAATCACATACGGACGTGGTTCTTTGGTTGTAACAATTCAAACATTATTGTTCTTACCATCACTTAGTATCAATCACATACGGACGTCGTTCTTGGCTGTAACAATCTTAACATTATTGTTCTTACCACCACTTAGTAACAATCACATACGGACGTGTTTCTTGTTTAATAAAGTGAATAACAATAAGTAAAAGCGCCTTGTCCAGAGACTTATTGATCGCATCCAACCAGTGTATTTCGATGTTCCCCTGTCCAACATGGTGACGAAATATACAGTTCTTAAATCTATTTTTCAGGTTAAAGAAGAAAAAAGACTGATTGGTCTGTTGCATACTATGGTAAGACCAGGCGACAGACGTGCAACAAGTCTAATGAATCATGTATCGGTCTTTTTTGACGAGATTTTAACGAGACTAGAAAACAACGGAGTTCGATATAATAACATAAAATTCCTGTATAGAGACTTAAAAAAATCAGAAGTAAGTGCAGCATTGGACACAGTTCTAATTGACATGAATTTTACATCAGACGAAGTAAAAGATGTAAGACTTATTATCGAACTTGTACATTCAAGGGTGAGACGAAAAACGAAATTAATGGGAGCATACGAACTACAGTGTGTAGAGAACGACGCATCTTTTATACAACAGGAAATCAAAGTGTTCTTGCAAGTTAGAGACGAAATAGACGAACCGATGAGAAAGGTACTGAAAAAAATAGTAGCCTCGTGTTATGCTGAAAGCCAAGAGGCCAAAGGGGACCAAAACAACAATACTTAATCATAAGATAGTTCGCGATGTTGAAATGATATTTGAAAATGTTATATATATATATATTTATGTATATCTAAATTTAGTTTTATATTCCAAAACATGTGTCCAAATGAAAGTTTAATTATGTATTGGTACCTAAGTGAGGGTCTGTTGGGGTTGGATATGCTATTCCATCTTACTATCTCATAATGTACAATGTTGTTACCCTACAAAAATACAACAACTGCTAAAATAAATGGAATGCTTCTCAAATGTTTTAAACATTTTTAATGTATTTAAAACTTCTAGCGTACATTCAGATTTAATTATACCAATTTCAGCATTGACGAAGATTGCGCCACTCTAGCAGTCTTTCAGCTTCTCCCTACAAATAATTTCATATAATTTATCAACACGACCTAAGCTACTTTATTTTTTTTATCTAATGGAATAAGTACTGCCAATAATTTTCCGGAAATTTTCGGATGTGTTCCAATGTGGTTTAAAATTAGCCTTATCAAAAAACAAGAATAAAAACACCTCAAAAGTTATTAAACTTTAGCATCTGTACTTATTCATGCACATAGACACAACTATTGATACAAATCTATATTCTTATATATAAAACTTAAGAAAATGCATATTAAATTCATTCTGAAAACACAGCATTTCATATGACAGGGGAAAATAGGAAAAGGGAACGTTACGTATTATAAAAAGGCTTGTAAAAGTTGATTTGTTTATTCCATCAAACTTTTACATATCAAAACTTCTTAAGTATTGATTGTTTCACTATTTTATGTGAAAATTTACTATTGTTGATATATATAAGAAATGTAATATACTTTGACAGACGGTAAGATTGAAAAAAATGTTACATACATTTAAAAATTCTCCAATTCACTAAATTTATATGCTCACATGATATTAAAGTTTGACGTCAAATAAAAGCTGATGCATCACTCTTTCATCTGATACCATTTTTTTATGATATCTTCATTCGGGAATTTATTATAAGGGATCCCGTGTTTGAAAATCAAAAAGAAAAAAATCGAAAGTCACACTTTAACGTGATTTTACAAAAAACTGCACCGTGGGAAAACTCTACGACAGGGCTAAAATGAAAGTATAATGTTTACTCTATCTTCATGTGGATTTTCAGCCATGAGGTATTTCGGTCCATTAAACTCTTTAAATAAGATACTTTTCCCGATTTGTCACTCCCCTATAATCCATATATCAAATATTGTTGACCAATCACACATCATCCTAAAAAAACAAACCTGGCCACTGAAGCCAGTGAAGGACAGACAATTAGTGTAAAAGTCAAGCGAAATTGTCTAGTTGAAATTTATGTTTCACGGTAAATAAAATGTTTACATACATTCTTTAGTAATTCAAGGTAAAAGTGACAATAAAATTGTGGTTTTATGCAAATTATGAAAGCCTTCGACGACGTCGCTTGAAGTGTAAAGCTTTTGGAAAAAAATATTAGAGAATATCTTTTCTATGGGTGGGATGGGGTGTGTACCTCCATGGAAGAAGATGAATTTTATTTAGACAAATCCTGGGGTTTGGAAATAATGACTGGTAAAAATGTCTATTCTGGAGACAAAAGTCATACAACAAGCTTAGCAATTAAGGTATGTCGAGTCATTTGAGCGTTCTGATATTGTTTTTATCAAGCAGTCCATCCAGTGGTGAGTTTACTCTTCATAAATAACTTCAATGACAAGCCGCTTCAACATTCAGCATGCATTGTTAACTACTTGATGAAATCAAAAATAATTTGCTTCTGATGCTTCAAAATTAGCCTTGAGGTATTTCGGTCCATTAATTTTTCAAATTTACCTTATTTGTCACTGTATTAGTTGTGAAGAGTTCGTGTCCGCTTTACATTATATCATTTTGCTTGACCGTAACAGCAACAACATAAGAAAAACTGTAGAGATCAGTTGGAAACTAAGGTTTCAACTTCCTCTGGCAAAGTTGATCTTAGATTGATTTGGCTATTATTTTTAGGGTCCTTTTTGGTAAAATTGCTTTTCAACTGTTTTGGTTCTTACACATTCCTCGCTTTCAAATATTAGGCTTTGAACGTTCCCGATAAAGGTTAATCCTGAAAAGCGCTTCGGATGCATAAAATTTATAAAGTGTTGTTTTCATTTTTTGGAAAAGTCTTCACTCATCAGATTGCATGAAGAACAAAAAAATCAACTTACATAAAGACACGAAGTGCCAATCTAAAGAGATTAATAATCAGTGCAGTCTTTCAGTGAATATTATTTTGACTACAAATTTTCTATTTTATTTTCAAACTGAACCGATCCAGTATTAAATAGCTATTCAAATACAGATATGATAAATAATATTGCTTTTATGAAGAAAAAAAATGTGCTTGAATATTTACTGTCGATTTCAGGTAAAATTATCATGATTTTGACTTTCAGGAACTATGTGAAAAAGAACGTTTTTATGTCATGATTTTTTTCAGAGTTTAGAAATTATTAATACTAAGTTACTTTTTAAAAAGTGACAAATACAATTGATGCTTTTTGCCTGGTAAATATTACGAAAATACCTATATGGAATGATTTCCATGCAGGAAATCCTTGTTTTTGGAATACTCTCCACCAGGTACGGTCTAAAACAAAAGTTGGAAAACAAAAAGTAGAAAGTTTGAGAGAAATTACAATGCCAACACATGTATTTATGAACTGGAAATACACGTACACAATAAATCTAAGAAAGACAATATACATTTTACAGAATCAAAATAAAAAGAAGTCTTATTTTTCCTAAAACTAATGCTTCAAAAGAATAAAATGATATGAAAGAATACACCATCTTTAGAATTTAATATATACATCATCCTAAAAAAACAAACCTGGCCACTGAAGCCAGTGAAGGACAGACAATTAGTGTAAAAGTCAAGCGAAATTGTCTAGTTGACACTTAGGTTTCACGGTAAATAAAATGTTTACATACATTCTTTTGTAATTCAAGGTAAACGTGACAATAATATTGTGGTTTTATGCAAATTATGAAAGCCTTCGACGACGTCGCTTGAAGTGTAAAGCTTTTGGAAAAAAATATTAGAGAATATCTTTTCTATGGGTGGGATGAGGTGTGTACCGCCATGGAAGAAGATGAATTCTATTTAGTCAAAACCTGGGGTTTGGAAATAATGACTGGTAAAAATGTCAATTCTGGAGACAAAAGTCATACAACAAGTTTAGCAATTAAGGTATGTCGAGTCATTTGAGCGTTCTGATATTGTTTTTAATGACGCAAATTATCAGGCAGTCCATCCAGTGGTGAGTTCACTCTTCATAAATAACTTCAATGACAAACCGCTTCAACATTCAGCATGCATTGTTAACTACTTGATGAAATCAAAAATAATTTGCTTCTGATGCTTCAAAATTAGCCTTGAGGTATTTCGGTCCATTAATTTTTCAAATTTACCTTATTTGTCACTGTATTAGTTGTGAAGACTTCATGTCCGTTTTACATTATATCATTTTGCTTGACCGTAACAGCAACAACATAAGAAAAACTGCAGAGATCAGTTGGAAACTAAGGTTTCAACTCCCTCTGGCAAAGTTGATCTTAGATTGATTTGGCTATTATTTTTAATGTCCTTTTTGGTAAAATTGCTTTTCAACTGTTTTGGTTCTTACACAGCCCTCGCTTTCAAATATTAGGCTTTGAACGTTCCCGATAAAGGTTAATCCTGAAAAGCGCTTCGGATGCATAAAATTTATAAAGTGTTGTTTTTATTTTTTGGAAAAGTTTTCACTCATCAGATTGTATGAAGAACAAAAAAATCAACTTACATAAAGACACGAAGTGCCAATCTAAAGAGATTAATAATCAGTGCAGTCTTTCAGTGAATATTATTTTGACTACAAATTTTCTATTTTATTTTCAAACTGAACCGATCCAGTATTAAATAGCTATTCAAATACAGATATGATAAATAATATTGCTTTTATGAAGAAAAAAAATGTGCTTGAATATTTACTGTCGATTTCAGGTAAAATTATCATGATTTTGACTTTCAGGAACTATGTGAAAAAGAACGTTTTTATGTCATGATTTTTTTTAGAGTTTAGAAATTATTAATCGTAAGTTACTTTTTAAAAAGTGACAAATACAATTGATGCTTTTTGCCTGGTAAATATTACGAAAATACCTATATGGAATGATTTCCATGCAGGAAATCCTTGTTTTTGGAATACTCTCCACCAGGTACGGTCTAGTACAAAAGTTGGAAAACAAAAAGTAGAAAGTTTGAGAGAGATTACAATGCCAACACATGTATTTATGAACTGGAAATACACGCACACAATAAATCTAAGAAAGACAATATGCATTTTACAGAATCAAAATAAAAAGAAGTCTTATTTTTCCTAAAACTAATGCTTCAAAAGAATAAAATGATATGAAAGAATACACCATCTTTAGAATTTAATATATAATACAATTGTGAAATAAGCCAATGCTATAATTATATGTTTTGTTAAGCTCTCACAAAAGGATATATTTATTTTGACATTATCTGCAACGACAAGAGGAAGAAAGTTTAAACAAATATATTATTCAATGTATTGTTTGTTCTGCAACCCAAATCTTACTTAAACTATCCAAGTGATGTCTTGTGATGTCTCCTTCAACCTCTGAAAAAAAAGATTTAGAATTAATCAATCCAGAATTGGACTGGTTATCATAAAGAATTTTTTTTTTGTCACACAAATTCGTGTCAAAAAGTTACATTAACACTTTTGAGCACACATTAGCTATATTAAAGGCCTACGAAAAGTAAATGGATGTTGGCACAGATTTTTAATAGATTCTGCCTATAAATTTGACATGTTAGATTCTAACTGAGGACTGCTAATTACCCGACTTTTAAATCGGACTAAGAAATTTTATTAATTTTGAATTTCGGAGTGATAATGAAAATTTAATAAAAGAATGCTTAACGATGTTCTTGGGTAATTGAACATTGAAATATCCACCTGTTACCGTAAATCGGTAGAATAAGTCATCGTCCTAATTATTGTCATTGTAATGAGAACATTTGCCAAGGTTTTGCAGATTATTTTAAAGACACCAAAGATCTGCATGGTCTAAAATCGGTCAAAAGGAAAATGATCTAAACTCAGATAAAGATTGCAGGCTTTTTAAAGGCAGATTTTGTTTTAATTCCCTATTTATTTTTTTATAATTATTTTGTGGTAATATCGTAAGTTCAAATTTGATCTGTATTTAATCAGTCTTGCGCTAATTCCAAAATGTTTAAGTCAATTAGATTACCGAAACTTGAGAATGTGTATGGAAACTTAAAGTTTATTTACACTTCCCGCTCGCTTGTTTCTCTTAAACCAACACAACCTATTAACCCAGTTAAAACACCGCAAACAGTGTCGGAAGAAATGACGTCCTTAATTAAATATTTTACCGAGAATCTAAGTAATATATATCAAAGTACTGAAGTACTGAACATCGGATGACCGCAAGTTCTTGTGGCTGATCAAAAGCACTTGTCACAGAAAAAACTCATATCTCTATACCTGAAACTGAGGTGAATGTACAGAGATATATTCTTTTCTGAGACAAGTTCGTGCGTGGATGATGAATAAATGACAGGAAATTCAACCTCACCATAATAACTATTATATTGTAGTGATACAAATCAGTATACACTGGTTTGTTGTTATATATTATATTAATATAACAGTTACATGTATATATAATTTTCATCCATTTGTATATCATTCTATTCTACTATTCTAATAATAGTGCAGTGCAAGTGCATGGTGGACACTCTTCTGTAAAAATTCGGATTTTTCTAAAAGATTGGATATGAGTAGGAGTTCATATTTTCCCGCAAAAACAATTACAGAGTTACCGGTCCTTGCCGGGATTGTCACAAAACGTTCTTGAGATATTCTTCCGC